GTAAACAATACGAGTGCAAGCGATAGAGAGGCGAAGACGCGCGCAGGTTAATTTGTATTGGATAACGGGTTGCGCGTGTGAAGGAGCTAATGAACGGGCGCCGCGCTCTGGGCGCAGGCCCGTGTCCGCGGACTCGTGCATTTTTAATGGCTCACGCTAGCACACTCACTATTAATATTTACCGAACACGTCAAGAGGGTGCACTTTACCTTTTAGTTAACTAGCGTCCGGCCGTTCATTAAATTTTCACGCGCGTCAGTTTCGGGCGAATTTTCCGCGGCGGTGACCGGTCGGAGCGGCCGATAACGAGCGCGGGCCGGCTCGTTACCCTACCCCCGCGCGTCCGGCTCGCCCCGCACACTCCCGCACTACCCAGCACTCCCCGGCAACCCGACCAAATTTTATTAATAATAAACTGTAACTGAAACGGTGACTTTGAAGTAAGAGACCAACTCGATCGCTCGTTATCGTAAATTATGTTAAATCCTTTGACGTACAAAGTTATTTCTCAAAAGTCATGTGCCGGTATTCGTTATTTGACAAACAGGTAAGTGTGCTCATAACGCATTTAACCAACCAGAATATTGATGACATTCAACTTCTTACTCCGTGAAAAACTAACCAGAATTTTTTAGAAATAAAATTAAATTGATGTAAATATAAACATTAATAATAATAAACACAAAGGTGTCTCGTAATCGCTTCACAAGTGGCGAGGGCAAGCCAGCGCCGTCAGAGGTCGCTGAAGACGGCGTGATTAATGCGCGCCCGCGAACCACTCATCTACAACACGTATCTTGAGATTTCCTCATTTAAACAAATAAGGTTTGCCCATTAAGCGCCTGTAACTCCTAACATGTATTTTATATCAAAGAAAATGTTATCGACATGCTATGAATTTCATTCGTAACATAGAGCAAGATAAAGTTTGTGCAGCAGTCTCAGATGCGTCTAGGTTTTGTTGCGACATTGCGAACGTGTACTCGGCTCGGCGCGGAATCGCGTGTCTTACGACATGAATAAGCAATGAGCGCGCGCGCACGCGACGCGACAAACGGCCCGCGCGCACGCCACCGCCCTACCCGCCCTAATTTATCGCCGCCCGCCGCCCGCGCTATCACTCCACTATCTCACCGCTACCCTATCTCACTCTAATATATTTATAGTATCGCTTTAGACAGATTGTTTGACCGTATCGCGACCTCAAAATTTGACGGTTCTATACAATTTTAATAATTTTACTACTTTTTCATACATTGATTGTTTAATTTTAACTTACCAGTATGACTACATATTTCTTTTGAAAGCTCCTCTGTATTAGACATACAAATCTGTTATATTCGAATTGTATATCAATCGAATACAATTCATGAATCTATCGTATTAAAGGACGTTACATATTCAATTAACAGGGGAACATGCATAATCAATTACGGGCTCGCCGCAAGATGGTCGCAGCTCCCGCGGCTCGGCTCATGGCTAGTGGTGACAATCGCACGATGCCTGTCGGCCCTTGTTTGCGGACCGCTCCACGTTGCGCCTAAAACTATTAAATTATTTAGGACTAGTGTGGTATTGTCTCGCGAAAGTCGTCCGCAACCGCCCTGGACCCGAACAAACAGTTGATGTTGTTCCAATAAATACGATACTCGCCGAAGCCGGCGCAGATTGAAATCGTTCTGGATAGGATGGCTGCACACATACAGCGGTAGCCAAGCTAACAATCAACAAAGGATTTTGTATACCTATATGTGATAAAAAACCATCATTGTAAAACAGTGTCTTATATGAATTTTTACAAAAGTAACAAGATGCTAGTATTTTTTCTGAAATTTGTGTCTTTGGCATTTTAAAACAATAAAGCTATTTCACCAACGTAATTATTTCGCTGGCTTTTATTAATATTAATAATTTAGAGAAATTTCAACATCCTTATATTTCTTAAAAGTTACTGCATCTAGTTGACCATTACAACTTGTAGTTACAACGTGGTACGTAGACCGTGTGTAGAGGCCCTTACTTAAGGGATGCGGCGCGGCCGGTATGTTTGATCAACTAGTTAATGGAATGCCGACGTAGTATTGTGCTCGCGGAGGCGTTCACTATTCAATACCGATATTAAACTACGCGTGTAAATGTGTTTGTTTACATTGTCATATCTTAGAAAACAATGTCGTTATAGAAACTGTTGAATCGACCATTTATGAGTTACATGGTTCATGTTCTTAATTACATTGCTTCGAGGAGACCTACTTACATATACTTATCTCGGTGCCTAAAGTTACATCTAATGGTGTCGTTATTTTTACTGCAGTTAAATTGCATGTTATTAAGATTTTTTTTTTGATATAATATAATGACATTTTTCGATTAAATTCATTCACGATCGCTTAAATATGATAACAATATGTTATACATCACTTTGAGAATCAATATAACAATTTCAAACAATACCTATACATAACTAATTATTGCTTGTCGGTCTCTGATTTCCAGACGCAATTTAGTATATGTTATTATATATTTTAGAGTTCAGGTGATTTTATTGAACTAGATGCGTTGTTTTGTATCATTTAATATGAGAACGATTCAGATTTCATTAGAGTTTGAGAAACTCCAAACAGCAGTATAAGTTACAACAAAGCAAGCGCCTAAATCGCAATACAAACGGGACACGGCGCGGATAAATCAACACAAAGTTACGCGGACAAGAGTGGATAATTTTCATTGTAATCGCACGACCGTCGACCGTCGCCCGCTCCGGCCGCCCAGTCCGCAGAGAATACGCGACCACCGCCCGAGTTTCAATAGCCCCCGTATTAGTTTGAAAGCTAATTGTTTCACGTAGCCCGTGGCGCGCCGATACGTCGCCTCCACAAATATTATGCATGTTTAATTAACGCCATTCTCGATTCATAATCCGACAGTGATAAATTAGACGGCTCTGCGGTCGTAATTAGGTACGCAATTATCGCGGCACGTTTGAATTCATTAGCGGAGTTACGAGTACTTGGCGGTGGGGCACTAGGCGAGTGTGATTTATAGTGCGATGTCTAACCGATCGTAATTAATACAGCGTTAAACCTGGGTCGTACAAACCGCACCGCCGATGTATCCATCACACCTCGACTTCCCGCTTTGTTTTTAACCCTTGCAAGCCATAATGATTAATCAGCTGCGAGATCTTACCGTTCGGACCTATTATAAGATAATAAGCGTATTCCACAACAACACGAGGTTTATCCGAAACCGTATACGCTTATTTAATTTACGTAGCCACCTGGCTCGATGGCAAAACGATTGGCGAGCGCCTAATTATATTTTAATCACAACGTGAGCCACGCAGAGGGATGTACGAGGTGCGGGGTGCATGGCGCGGGGAGCAGGGAACATGGCACCACTAATTCGTTTGTCCGGCGGCTTCGCCCACACCGCCTGCGGCGATTGTTTATTCTCATAGGAGAGTTTAGGTCTCCTGAAGCGATACCGCTTAAATATATTAACCGAAGCGTTTACGTAAAGGGTTTAATTATGCACTATACGCTCTAACGTAGCCAAACGACGTCGAGTTAATTAAACCGTACATTGTTTTAAAGACGAGGGCGAATCGGAGCTTTAAAATTATATAAGCCCGTTCGTCTTTTTCATACGAGTGCACGATGCGAGCGCCTCCTTATTCGTCGTAGACGTTCCGTAGCGCTGTATTACTTGCACTAACTTGCGCCGAGTTCATCAAGTGTAATAAATATTAAAGTTACAATATCATTGTTAGAACACTCCGCGTGCCGCGCAGCTGTTCCGGAGAACTATTGCCTGTTCGGTATGGAGGTACGGACCTTTGTTCGCTGTATCAACTATGAAATTACTGTTACACTGAACGCTACGTATACGACTAGATTTTGGGTAAATCAATTGCGGCGCGGGTCGCCCAGCGAAGCGTCGTTTCACGCCTATTAACCGGCAACCGAGTCGCGCGATATGTTTAAAAATTCAAACTGACCACAGTATATTTATACAGAATTAACGGTATACATGGAACTTATATCACAGCAGACTTGTGACATATTATTACAATTAAATGAACAATCACATTTCTTTAAGATGTATTGTTGAACGTGCTTAGTAGAAACTCACCGCATATAAATATTCTTGATCGCAGCAACAATAATTTAAGCCCATTACAGCATGTGTAGGAAACATTGACAAGCTTATTTTACGCACAAGGAATTGAATGGAATCGAACCGAGAAAGTATGAAATTACGACTATTATTTGACATGAATTGTAACTTACGAAAAATGAGCCTTCCTTGGCATGAATTGGCAGGAGCGAGGTCCCAGATCTGGACGTGTAATAGACTGAAGCAGTAAACTACTCCTGCGCGAACTTCACATTAGTGTAAGAGCCTGTGTCAGGGGCGCGGGGTGTGGAGCGGCTGGAGAGGGGGGGGGACGCTGCGCATTGGCCATTAGCGTGATTACAGAGCCCCACTCGCGAATTCTTTAGGCCTCCCGTCTCATAATACTACATATTTCATTATTTATGTAAGCCCTGTTTTACTTCAATCTACTCTCTCGGAGATTACACAAGTAATATACGTAAAGCTCATCTTTAACGTAAGCGAATCGCGTCTGGGAGTCGACGGAACTTACTTTATTGACTGCGGAGAACGAAATTTACTAAATTGATAGCCTTATTTGTGTAACAAACCAATTTCATTTTCTCCGACTGAAACTATCGAAACACTCTACAGTTATGAAACATTAACAAACTGTCAGATTCGAGTTTAATTTCATATGTACATTGTAAATGGATGTTTGACTTCGAATTAATTCAGTGTAACCTTCAAACAATATTTGCAATAATAATTAAAAAACAATGTAAGGACAACAAATTATAATGCTGAATACCATAACGTATATCATCATATCTACATAAATGGCTTATTAACGGACCTATATACGGCATCATTTATATTATTTTTTTATAAAATTGTTCCAGATGATGGCTTGTTCGTACTTGAGTGCGGCGGGCGCGAAGCCGGCGACAGCTGGCGCGAGCGGCGCGGGTGTTGCGGGCTGCTGGACGCCGCCCAACTACACCTGCCTGCCAGAGCCGGACTCACTGCCCGGGAACACACAGCCGCCATGCCCTCAACCGTGTCCCCAGGCGCACACCACTAGCGACTATTGTGCATTGGGAGCACCGCGCCATGAGCCAGCACTCGACCTCACGACCAACTCCTCATCTGTTAAGCCCCGCGTCCCCTCGCCCACGGGGGACACAGAGTGAAAGTGTTGTGACAAAAGACAATTGGACTTAACACGGCCAACATGAAATTATTACTAAAAGTACTGCTTTTATCTCATTAACAGTATGATTAGTAACAATTCTTATAACGCCAGTGTATTATTAAGTTATATTTCAGTACTACGTCAACACGGTCGTTGCCGCGCTCATTACATTATCAGATTTATAAACAGTACAATCGTGCACAAATCTCCGTGTAACGATTGTGTTGGCGACTGTACTCTTTACATATTTAATTTCGGTTGTGAAAATGGCAATTTATGTAAAACTTACTCGCTGTGTAAATTTCTATTGAAATGTGTAACTTAGCGTTGTTCGGAATTAGATGTGTTAAACACAAAGCGTGTTGTTTCTATAATAAAAGTGATATTGTAGATGTGAGTGAACAAAGGCATATCCTACGTAATAATGTTACAATTTAAAGGCACTCACTCAATGATTTATATGTAAAGGATCAACAGATGGATACATCAGTGTACTTAATGCATATTAAGACCTAAATAAATTGTATGCGCTTATGATGTGAGCTAAATTAAACGCAATAAACATCGAACAAAGAACTTTTTAATATTGTCGTGTTATGTTAGTTAAAAATAATATACAAATCACAGACTACTATTATTAGTATTTCAATAAGTTGTGATGGAATTTATTGGTATTTTTTATTTATTATCTTTGATATTACGTTGTGGAATTATTGTCTATTGTGTATGTAAAATCATAGACAATTTCGTCATTGTTTTGTTCTTGCCAGCCAGTAGTATGTCGGTGCATAATGTTAACATGCACATCTCTGTGATTTGTAATCTTGCGTGTAAATAAAATCTCGAATAAATTTGTTATTTCGTTTATAATGACGCGCTGTTACTTAAACTTCTAATAGCTACTTTATTATTAATCATTGAAACTGTAAATATTAGTATAAACGAATTTAGATAATAAGTAGACACATGTCGTACCTAAAAGTTTAGGCGCGAACTTCGTAGCAATAATTATGGATGCCAACGTTGAAGTTTGAATTCATGTAACCGCGCCTTGTGTATATATTGAATGATAAAACTTTACCATCAACTTAAACTAGACTCGTTTGAATCAATTATATAAACAGTTAGTGTAAGTTATCATAAACGCTGACATTCCTTCTTGTTATAAAATTTAAAATATTAACATTTACCCGCGAAACGGAAACTTCGCCTCATTTAGGTATCCGCAGAACACAGCTAAATAATTTAATCTGTATTTGATTATTACTTATCGAAGTACTTCATAATGTTAGCGTTTAGAATCTTGCCATCTTATTTTACTCATTATATTGCACTACTTTGAGAGATGTACATTTTATAAAGCCTTGTATCTGCAATGTTTTGTTCTATTTGTAAAACATACTGAATGCTCTCTCAAGGATGTAGCAATCTGTTTAGTGAAAACAGTTATGGTGTTACCAGTACTTACACAAAGAACGATATTGCAACTATACTTAGCCTAAGGAATATGGCGACAGGAAGAGATATTAAATTTTGTAAATTATCCTATTGTTTTATTTCCTTTAAATCACATTAGTTGTTTGAGCCCCATAAAATAAACTAAGCTTTGTCTATCACAGCAACTCACTATACTTCCCCATTGAGGGGCTTGGAGCCAATCCTAAGTTAGGGGTACCTATGCCAGTCAACCACGCTTGCCTAGAACGGGTTGACTTTACACATATCTTTGAATTTATTCGTAAATATGTGCAGATTGCATCATGATGTTTTGCTTTACCGTAAGAACGTCAGTTAAATGTACATATGTAAATCGAAAAACACATTGTTTCATGGCGGGATTCGTAGCCAGGACCTCTAGATTACAAGGCAAGTGCTTAACTGAGCCACCGAAGCTCGTTAAGTTATCTATGCACTACTTTAAAATTAAGAAAAAGATTAACAACATTCAAAATGCAAGCAATCTTAAAACATGTTAAGGCGATTTTAATATACCTATAAACGAAATTTTATTCTTACTTAATGAACTAAACATATAGAGAGCGTAAGTAAAAGTGCAAAAAATTTCCCTATATTTTATGCAACTTGAAGTAGACAAAGAAGAAATGTACCCTGTCGATATATTACAACTGCTGATAAGAAACATTGCAACTAAAAAATATATAGGCGCTCAAGAAAATTCCTAACGTTAGAAAAGAGTTCCTAAATTCCTTACTAATCTAAATAACAAGCCAAAGTACATAATTTTGTATTCAAGAAAACCAGCTTAATTCAATTAAGTCACATTTCTAATTTTATTATAATTTGATTCAGACTAACCGCCATATTTACTGTTTTCCTTTCTACAAAAAGTATCCCTTGACATTGTATTGAATTAAAAAGCAAGAGACCAGATGGCCGGCGCCGCTTAACATTGCAAATTAAATCATTATACAAGCCTTTCCGGAGACTTTTTTAAAGAACTGGATGAAATTAAAAGCAGAGATTGCTAATTAGTACTCGGATATTTCCTCCGCAAATCTTCTAGTGTCTCTACAAATGATTCTGCAAATAAATACAACAACAACTAACTAAACAAACGAATGCTATGGACGCTAGTAATTAATGTGCCTTCCTTTTGAAATATAACATAGAAACATTTAGACTTTTGAAGCCCCAGTAACGTAATGATTATGGTTATGGACTACGGATATAACATTCACGGGTTCAAATCTCCCCTTTGCCTTGAACCATACCATTTTTTTGAAATGTTTAGAAATATTCGTAAATATTTATTTATATGAAGCGAGCAAGGTTGGTGATACTGGCTAGTTTATTATTTATTTCGTAACAGCGTTGGTGCGTGATGGTGGGCATTGTACATGCGTGGCTACACAAGGACACACAGACGGTCGCTCTTTACACCTATTAAACACGAGTTTTGGACGCGTCGACAATCGGATTACTCCATTGTCCGTCGGTTTGTATTCGAAAATATCGCGTACTACAAAACACAATTTACCCTTTTAAAACCTAAAATGTAACATATTTGAAATTCAATATTCACAATACACCTGTTATTAGTTATATAAATACTTTTATAGTTTTTAAATATTTAAATATTTAAACAAAACTTCAGCTTTCCGTTGATATTTCAATAGATCTCATTAAAGCATTTCCTGCACTAAAAGCAGCGGGCTTTGTCAAAATTTATCCGCCGGCAGGACCAATTACGGCGGTACTTCCTTCCTGACAGACGCACCATCAAATATGTACGAGGCTCAGGCGAAAAATGGCGAGATTCGTGAGTGACGCGTGGACACGATGAATGAATGATGCAACGCACGGATCTGACTAATCAATAGCGTCGCCGTCCGTCGCCGCCTGCAGCCCAACTAGCGCGCTGTGCTGTCTAAATTGTTCTACATTGGTGGCCACGAAACTTGTAAAATAAAATAGTCAATAAAAAGTTAGGTTAGGTTAGCTTAAACAAAACATGCCCAAAAGCAGTTTGTACACAAAAAATTAAAACTGCAACTACAACTAATGAAAAACTCGAAATTAAAGATAATAAATGCAGTTGGCTTAGTCGGCTATACCTTAGAATAGACAATCATAGACAATTTCCTTCTAAACCACAGTGTTTTTGTTTTTAATTTATTTATTAAATCTAATAAAAAAATAAATTAAAAATGATTTCTTAAGTCTCCAAAGATGAGTCAGTCCGCGAAAACTTTTACAAAATCCTAACTATAAGAATTAATTTACATAAACACTTGATATCGCTAAATCTATAAAAAAAAAAGTTTTATTCTGTAAGAATCAGAGTTTGCTGACCGGCCTAAATAATTAGCAATGTGTATCGTTCAACATTTTAAATATAATATAACTAAATAAGCGTAACTAATGAGTTACATCCGCATAAACAAATTATGAGTTTAATGGCCACAAATTTTCACGAAACTAAAAAAGTATGATTTATTTCAAAATCGATAAAAGTTTTTAATATTATTTTATTATTTGAATATTGGTTTGAGAGCAAATGAAATAAGAAAGCCTTCTGCAATAGCATAAATCGTATTTTTAGCCGACTTCAAAAAGAAGGAGGTTATCAATTCGTCTCTATGTTTCTTTTTAAGTCCTTATGACATTTGAAATAACGGATCGTATATAGCTGCTTTCAAAACCCATTACTTCTACCATAGGTAGAAGTAGGACCTATTACTACTTACTATTAAAACTGAACAGTAACTTTCGTTAAAATCTAAAGGCAAAAGCTGTTTAATTTATATACAAGGGTTATTTCGAATTAACTCTAATTTATATAAAACATAACCTTAATCCACGTTGATAAAAATAAAATATTGAAATAAATGAGATGTATAGTAAAATTAACAAGGAGATGTTGACCGCAAGTCGGGTCTGAGTCCCCCCCCCCGCACTACCCCAGCCTCAAGCAGTCGTTATCTGAAGACTGTGAGGATCATTCAGCATCGACTTGTCCACTGTACACTACCGAACATAAGTTGAATAAGACAATTTTTATTTTATTTTCATTTCATTATTTTTAAACCACTGACTAATTTATCCTAATTACTAATTAGCAATAGACATAGCAATATTAAAATAAAAGTGTACAGTGATGGTTTCAAAGACTTCTAATTTCAATGACCGCAAAATAGACAAAAATATATTCTGTATTCTTTTATAATTAACTGTTAAGAAGAGAAAGTGAATATGCGCTATTTTGTACCGCAAGTTTATCTTCCATGAACGGTTGTATAGAATCTTTCGGCACAACTTTTGTCGCTGACTGTACCGTGTTTTCTTTCAGCGGCGGCTTATTACAGTACACTTTAACATCGTTAGCATACATCATTATGCGTGTCCGTTGTCCGAAGCCGAACATGTCCGCCGCCCGCCGCTATCTCTGACATCAACAAATTACTTCACTAACAATCTAACAACGTATTCGGAGGAATACTGATGAAGGAAAATATGCACGTGTCTAAAGGAAACTGTTTTCTTTATGGAAATTGCCTTATCTACGCTTCGGGCGAATGCAAAATAGCTAGGAATATTCAAACTATGATCTAATTAAAACAATGTAATGTTATTAAATTCTTGCTGAATTTGCTTTATTGCCTTTAAATGCATTGCTCTTTGACATTTTTCTGAAGAATTTATATATTTGTTTAATCCAGTTCAAAATAAAAACGAAAAAAGGCGATATCTTTCTATTTTTTAAGTAAAGAAGTTTTAATTAGAAATCGCGTGTTTAAAAATACGAATGAATTAAATTTTTCACATAATCATTACTAATTAGTGGAAACTTTTTAATCTAGGTCAGTAAGTAATAACATTAAATAACGCGTTAGAATATTGAGCGCCCTCCTTTTTTATTTACGTCATCCCTCCAGTAGGCAGCAGTAGCAGAAGGTGAGTGGTGGACCGTTTATCCCGCAATCAAGTCAGTAATAAATTAACGCCATTACTAAATTATGCCCTGGCCGTGGATTAATCTAGAAGTCGGTCCGCAGTCCGACGCGGCCGCTCTTACATTATTACAGCATTCATTAGAGTTCGCTAATTACTCCTTGCTTTAATGAATAAGCTCTAATGAACCACTTTCTGTTAATTAAAGGCGGCGTGGGTTGGGCGAGGGGCCGCGGGGCGCAGGGGCCGGGGGGTACTTTTCTCCGGGCTCTGATTGCAAATGTGAATTTGTGTAATTCTGAGTGGAAAGAGTGTTTCAACTGAAAAGGGGTAATGAGGCAGTCGAGAGAAGCCGAATTACTTGCAACTGCAATGCTCTATAAGTTACGATTCATTCACTAAATTGCAACATCCTATAATATTATGATGGATGTTGTGGTTTTACTCTTCTATGAAAATGTTATATACATACTTTTATTTGTACTAATATACCGTACTTCATTGGGAATACTAACTACTTATAACTACTTTAATGTCTTATTGACTTTATTTACTTACGTTTGTTTTAATTATATTTATTGGTAATTAGGTAATATAGGTTTTTTGTAAACGCATATAACATTTTAATTAAGTATATTACGAAATAACCTTTACTTGCATAACGTCCACCAAAATATACAGCATTTCGTTACGTTATTACGCTTAGGCTAAATAATTCAGATTTTCTTCAACCTCCATTAGCCAGTTGACAATCGTTCAATGACACCATCACTAGTTTGTAAAATGAAAGGGATGACATATTTATTGATACGTGCTCATTTTGCAATACTTTTGGCGCATACTGGCCTAAAATAGATAATTAATTCACTGAAATTATTCAAGCAAAAAATTTTTCTTTACAAATTCTTATTTCAATTGCTAATTTTAACACTATGACAAACACTGTTTAAGCAATTTTAATACGTTAGGAAACTGAACATAGCTTACAAAAATATTCGTACAGGAACACATCAATTTTTAATTTGGTAATATTAGCTTAGTAAATTTTAATTGATTAAAAACTGCTAATTAACGGGTTCACATTTAATTACAAAAATGTGATATATTAGCAAACACACACGTATGATTCAATAATCAATAAGCGTGAAAATTCGAAGGAAAATAACGAATGTACCAATGACTTCGCCGCGCATCTATAAAACGAATTTGCAACAAAATTAAAATGTTGTTTCAATTGGAACTTTATATCATCAGCATGTTCCTCTACATAACAGTAAGTTAATTTTAAAAGGCATTTATTTCAAATAATATTTTTATTCATTTTTCGTATGATCAAACAGATTTTCCACGGTCATACGAAATTTATTTTTGTTTTCATAATATGAATAATTTGTTTTCCTTAAAATATGTAAGAATTTTTTCGAACAATTGGTGTCAAAGTGGTACCACACCGACTTATTGTGTAACATGCATTCAAACTTTTCTTTAAATAACTGTTTTTTTTGTATAGATTTGCTGCGTCCTGGGCGCGGCGGTGGCGGCTCCGTATGGCTCATCATATGGTCTAGCGACGGTTAGCAGCTATGTGAGTAGAATTTTACAACAAAAATATGTTTTAAACCAACGCATTACTATTTTCTCTTATATTCTCTCTTTCACGGTATTTTTCCCAGGCTAATCCAAACTATGGATTTAATTATGCGGTAAACGACCCAGTGACGGGAGACAACAAGGCGCAGACAGAGGTGCGGGAGGGAGACGTGGTGAAAGGCTCCTACTCGCTGGCGGAACCCGACGGCACCATACGTATTGTCGACTACACCGCCGACCCCGTCTCGGGTTTCAACGCAGTGGTCAAGAGAATAGGGCACGCCTCCCATCCCCAGCAGATCCTAAGCCCCGTCGTTACCAAAGCTATCGCATCACCAGCATGGCACGCCCCCGCCCCTGTATCGGCTAATATTTACAGCGGTCTCGATGGCTACTGGGACCACGGTCTCGGCTGGAATAGTCACAGCTGGTCCGGTCTCGGGTGGAGCGGTCTCGGCGGCGCGGCAGGACACGGACAATGGTACCATTAAGGATTTCAAGCTATACAACTTTAAGACTCATTCACATTAATAAAGATGTAGCGATGTCTACGCGAATGTCAATGAGGACCTTAAAATTAAGCATCTGTAGATTTTCCAGCAATTTACTAGTCTATTTCTAAGTAGCATTTAGCGTAAATAAGTGTAAATTGTACTTGTCATAAAATGCTAATAGTTATGTAAATAAATAAAAATCGATCCTAGAGTGCCTTATCCATTTATTCATATAATATCCGTCAATCGAAATCAAACAAGACGACACATAAATAATTTATTTCAATACTAAATACATTTTATTTCATTAAATCGGTACACCGAGGATACTTTCACATATAAATGCAGTTGTTGAGCGGTACGCGCACTACGCGCACTACGCGCACTACGCGCACTACGCGCACTACGCGGACTACGCGCACTACGCGCACTACGCGCACTACGCGCACTACACGCACTACACGCACTAAGCGGGCGAGGCGGCGCGACCTTCACCGAACAGCCAGAGACATGCGCGGTCCGCGAGATACGCGAACACCATGTCCGCTATCAGCACTTGTATTAATATCACTCGGTACTGCAACAAAAACACACATTTTTAATCGACTTTAAAAAAAAAGAACATACAGGCGACTTGATAACCTAAAAGAAGGAGGTTATCAATTCGTCAATTTTTTTATGTGTGTGTAACTCCGTCCATTGCGCTTCGATTTTTTTTTCATCGAAAAATTTGCTTGTATTTAGGTGGGTCCCATTTTTTTAATTATTTCACACGTTTCTTTTTTTACTTGTCTTAAAAATACTTAAGAATAAGTGAGAAAGATGTAGTCAATCTGCGGGGTTAGACAAAGTGCATTCGCTTCGAAGCGATTCCATAGCGAACTTTAAAATTGTATGGAAGTGACGCGCAACAATCACGTGACTTATTGAAACTATACATTTTGAAATTCATGATGACGAAGAGTAGGGAATGCGAAGTTGTACTCACGTCAGGCGGGAAGTAGACGATCTCGAACATGTTGGTCAGGTCAGGCAGCACACCGGCAGCCAGCGCCAGCACGGCGCCGCCTGACAGCGCCACGCTGTACAGCAG